ATTTCTTTTACCTCTTCCTCTTCCCCAAATTGTGGGGCAGTCCTTTGGTTCTTGAAAGTCACTTGGAATAAACAAGTGACCTATGCTATACTACTTATTGTTTTCCATCACTGAATGTTTCCATTTCCACGGGGAATGGTTCAGGACTCACGATCTGACAGGGAATCTATGGAAGATCACTGGCTTTTCCTTGTTAATAACAAAAACTCTGACTCAGATTGGCTAAAATAATAAAGACTTTTATTTCCTCTTACAACAAGAAGTCTAAAAGTAGAACAATCCCAGCCATACCATAATAAGCTTTCCAGGGGCTTTCCTGGTGGTGCAGTGGTTAAGAATCCGCCTGACAATGCAGGGGGCACGGGTCAAGCCCTGCTCCGGGAAGATCCCACATGCCGCGGAGCAACTAAGCCCGTGCACCACAACTACTGAGCCTGCGCTCTAGAGCCCGCGTGCCACAACTACTGAGCCTGTGAGCCTGCATAGAGCCCTTGCTCCACAACAAGAGAAGCCACCACAATGAGAAGCCAGCGCACTGCAACAAAGAGTAGCCCCTGCTCGCCACAACTAGAGAAAGCCCGTGTGCAGCAATGAAGACCCAACGCAGCCAAAAATAAATAAAATAAATTTATTTTAAAAAAAAATCTGCTGACCTTTAAAAAAAAAAAGAAGCTTTCCAGGTCTCAGCTTTGTCTCCTCCATAGTTTGGTATTGTCCTCAGGATGGTTTTCCTCATGATCACAAGAGGCTGCCAGTAGCAACTACCACAACACACTTCCTTTCTTATACCAAGCAGGTGAAATAGAGAAGGAACCTCTTGCCTTTTGATATAACTGGGCTAATTTAGGACATAAGCTCAACCTGAGATAATAACAGACCAGGAGAATACTTTCCTGATTAGCTTAAACCTTAATTCCTGATTCAATCATTGGTAAGAGGGGTAAAAGTACTATGATTGGATTATACTAGTCAGGATCCGTGCTAGGGGCTAGATATGGGATGAATATCCCCCCAAAGCAATGTTCTCTTAGAAAGGCAGAAATTAGAGGTGGGGAGAGATGATGTAAAAAAATGTTAAGAATACATGTATACATGTAGCAACAATATGATCAGTGAGTTGCAAAATAGATTACTCTGCAGAAATGTCAAAGAAGGTGTAAGAGATGGCAGGGAACTGATTAGATGAGTCAATCCTATCAAGGACTTAAAATAGTAGAGGGTAGAGAGAGAGGATTTGGTGTGAAAAATTTTTAAAGAAAGAGATGCTGGTATGCTATGAGTCTCAAGCCCCCATCCTAAGGGGGAAGGGTGTCTACTCCTATGGGGGCAAAGAATGTCACCGGCACTTCAGTTAACAAAGAATGTCGCCCGCCATCAAGCCATCAGCCATTGCAGCCATGCCCCCCTCTACCCCGCCCATGGTGTGCCCTGGGGGGAATTCCAATGGAGAAAAACATATTTTGGCCATAGATAGTTATCAAAAGTATAATTCCAATGAGCCCAGACTCTTGGATCTTCTCACACTTAGAAAAGCACTAAAATCATTAACTTGATATGTCTGTTTCTTGTGATTAGCAGTAATCTTTTGATGGTCAACTATATGTTTGTTTTTGTTTCTGAGCAAAAACTCTTGTATTTCATGGCTTCTCCCTTACCTCCTTGGAACAGTTCCTCGGAGCTATCTGAGAGCTTATCTCCCGGGCTATAATCTTCAGTAAGGTCCCAGGATAAAACATAACTTGCAACTTTTAGGTTGTGTGGGTTTTTTTTTCAGTCAACACCTAACACAAACTGAGTAAGAGGGGCCGAAAGGGAATCATTTGGGTAGCTTGCTGTTTCCCCTGCAGTTACAGAATCATTATGGATGTGGCTTGACTCCTCTCCTCAAAATCTACAGGCTGGAGATGGGTTGGCAAGCTGTTTTGGTGGCAGAGTGACGGAGGGTTGCTGCTATGCTATTATGGACCTGCACTCACAGAGTTTTGGGGACAAGGAATGTGGGAATGTTTCCTGTGGCCGGGATGTGGGCTATATGCGTGAACTTAAGAGCCAGTGGGAGAACCATCTTTAATCCTTTCCATTAGGATCATCGTAGAAACAAAGAGACCTCAACAGAAATGATACTGAGCTGGATCACCCATTCCCTAGAGCTTGTAGAGGAAGGAATTGCAGGAATAACATGTGTTCGCCCAGATCAGAGAAACTGCAGGTGAAAGACCACTATGATATCAAGGTCTCTAAAGAACCTCTAAAAGTGAGTAAACTTTAAACGTCTGCCAGACCCAGAAAGTGTGAAGCCATATTACAAAGTACCAGTCAAATGATATCCACTCCCCAAGGGATCATATGCTGGAAAACAAGCTGGATAAAGAAAGAACGAGGAAAGAAAGAAGGACCACACCCTAGAATGCCCTGCAGGTGGCCAGTCTATAGCAGGACCTGGTTTTGTTGATTTTAAATTTAAATCAAGTTCAGAGAGCATTTTAAATTATTGAATTGACACTGTCTTTGTATTCTAAAGTGACTTTTGAACCTTGTATTAGTTAAGAGAGATCCATAAATCATATGCTCTCCAAGAGTTTTCACCCTGGAATCACTTTCCCGTGGCCATGATCTGCATGAGCAAAAGGGATACTCTGTGCCTTGCCTTCAATATCCAGGAAGCTAGTGACTGACTCTCGGACCTCTGCTACAGCTGCCGCAAAAAAGCAAGTGCTTTGACAACTGTGCTTGCAAAAAGGAGCAGAAGCGTGGCCTCTTATACATGATGTCACTTCCTCCCAAATGTGGCACGGGTCTATCTGCCTGATAGACTCTAGATCAAGCTGAAGGGACTCTGGGCATGTAATCTTAACTTTGCAGGCTCCAGCATGAAGCAAGCACACCCCTGTCAGGGGCTGGTATGGGATGGAGGGAGCCAGCCTGCAGTATCTGCTGTAATGCCCACACCACACACCTGGTGGTCTATATCCTGAGTAGTTTCACTGCATGAATGTGTCTACTCAAGAGACAGGATTAATAAGAAATTGCTTCATGGCCGTACTGTACACTTGGAAGCCATCTACTCACCGGCATCCAAGAGCAAGCTCCAGATCCAGGTGACATCCAGGTGTGACCTCTCACTCTCTCCTGCCAACTGGCCACCTTTCTCCTGGCTCCTCCCTTTCCTTGAGCAATGAAGCTTCTCCCCACAGGTCTCTTCAGAGCCTGTTCACATCTTACCCACCCTTTGGGGTCTCCCTGAAGGGCCCCCTGCCCCAGGAGCCTTTCCTTGTCTTTCCAGGCTCCTCTGAGTTCCCTCTTTTTCTTCCTGTCCAGAACAACATTTTGACATGGGATTATATAAGCCTTGGATTCGTCTGCTAATTCATTCATTCGACAAATGTTTAAGGAGCCCATACAAGGTGCTTTGTTGAATGTCAGGTGGTAAAGGCATGGTCCCTGTCTTCTTAAAGCTTACAGACTATTATAGAGGAAACAGACATTAAACAAGTAAACAGCATGTAAATGTAGAATTACAGATTGCAATCAGAACTATGAAAGAAAACTTTCAGATGTGTTGAGAGAGTCAATCAGTGGTCTGTCCTGAGTGGTCAAAGAAGGTGTCCCTTAGGAAGTGAAATCTAAAACAGGAGGTCTAAGTAGGGGCTAGCCAGATGAACAGGGGGAGCAAAAACATGCCAGGAAGAAGGAATCATTAAAGGCCTTGAGTCAGGAAGAGATGAAAGCATTTTAGGAATGGAGAGGACAGTACATTTGGGGCATTGTGGCAAGGGGCAGGTGGCAGCAGTGAGATAAGTTTAGAAACATAACCTGATTATGTGGGTCCTTCCTGGTTGTGTTAGGCACTTTGGACTTAAAGCTAAGGATACTGGAAACAGTTTTGAAGGATTTATAGCGGAGCAGTAATATGACCCAATTAATGTTTTAGAAGAATACCCTAGTTCCTCAGTGGAAAATGGATTGCTGAAGAGCACGAGTAGAAAAAAAGGAAATTAGCTAGGGAGCAATTACAAAAGCCCAGACGAAAAGTCATAGTGGTTGGCCACTAATGGTGGTGGCAGGGGAGATGGAAAGAATGGTTGATAATTGAGATCAATAAGCTTCATGTGTTTCGTGCGTGCCAGGCATCTGGCTTGGTGAAAACCTATAGCTCTACTCAGTAAGTAAATATAATAAATCAATACAGTAATTAGTTAATTACATGCTGCTTTAACCTTTTAAAAAGAGGAGCTGATCTATATTGTTAACTGGATCAAACATCTCACAGCAGCTGAGAAAGCAATTATGTAGACATATAGTCAATCTGGTTTGTTTGCTAAGTCAGTCTGGTTACTTTGACAACTGAATAATATAGACCATGTGGTTATCCAGAGTTCTGTTTAGTCACTGTACTAGTTCAAGATAATACCAGTTCTGTTTAGGTCATTTTCATTGCTCATTAGATAGAGCTTTGAATGCACAACTTAGGATTTTATAGTATATAACCGTGGTTCCTAAATATTTTTTATTCTGTAAACCAATATTCTTTTCTTTTCAAAAACTGAGGGAACTGCTTAATGTGACCCCCTTTAGGTTGTCAAGAATGGGTATTAGAACAAACAATCAAATAACTACTCTCATAGCGAGGGTTCTTAGCTGCAAGCAATAGAAACTAAATTCTGTCAGATTTAAGTAGGAAAGAATTTATGATGAGAGTTTTGTGTGGCTCACAGAATCACCAGGAGGGCTGGAGACTTAGGGCCAAGCTATCAAGAACACTGTCCAAATCTTTGATGTGATGAAGTTCGCACAGCCGCTGCCAGTGCCATTAAGCAGTCAACGCCATAGGTTAATCACTAACATCACCAACGCTGCTACTGGATGGCTCTGAGAACTGACACGTTGCCCTTGGAAGTAGATATAGCCACTGCTGTTGCCACCGTCCCTCCCCAGAATGGTTGCTGGGCAGTCCTTGCTTCACAGTGCCGTTTTCGGTTCAAAGACTGGTATGAACTTACCATTAGTGGAGCGTAGCTCAGGGGCTTGTGTCCTCACAGCAAGAAAGATAGGAGACTGAGCTTCCAGGGCTGGAGGTAGGCAGGGCTTCCCAATGAGATTTATAAAGTGCAGAATTTTCCAAATATAGGAATAGACTTTGGACATCAGGATCCTAAAAAAGAGTAACAACTACCATTTATTATCCCCATCAGTTCATACGAGAAAAAAAACATTTAGTTCTAAAATGTAAAAGGGGACAAATTACAGTATATAGAACAGCCTATTAATGGAATAAAGTGTTTTTTTAAATAGAAAACTCACTGTATTGTCCTGACTGTTTTCTTTTCTTTATTCATGGGGAAACTCTGCCTTGAGGCAGCTTGATTGACAGAACAATTTTGGAAACCCATGTGTATAGAGGACACGGGCCTTGGATAACAAACTTGGTCTTGGCATTTCAGCTCTACCACTTACTTAAGCAGTTGTATAATCTTAGGTATGTTAGATCTGAAATTCAAGGTCATCCTTTTTAAAATGGGGATAATACTTCCTAACTCTTAGACTTGCTGGGGGATTCGATGAGATAATGTATGTAGATGTATATAGCAGGACCTGGAACATAGGAGCCAGGGGTAGATGCTCCTCTTCTGTTCTTCCCATCTTGTGCTGTAAGGGGTCTGCATCCTGCACTAGAACCTGAGACTCTTAGCCCTTCCAGCCATGGGCTGCACTAGTGCTGTTTGCTGTTGAATCTCCAAAACCTAGCTCGATGCCTACAAAATAAGTGCTCAGTGACTGCTTGCCAAATAGACAAGTAGGGCTTCCCTGGTGGCGCAGTGGTTGGGAGTCCGCCTGCCGATGCAGGGGACACGGGTTCATGCCCTGGTCCGGGAAGATCCCACATGCCGCAGAGCGGCTGGGCCTGTGAGCCATGGCCGCTGAGCCTGCACGTCCGGAGCCTGTGCTCCGCAACGGGAGAGGCCACAACAGTGAGAGGCCTGCGTACCGCAAAAACAAAAACAAATAGACACGTAGCTCTTACTTAAATTATTACTAATTATGTGAAGTAATAATGTAAAACACATGATATCATCCTTGGCACAGAGTAGATATTAAGTATAAATGTGAGCTCCCAACTTCCATTTCTAGTAATAATCAGCAAGTTTCTTTGGGCCAATCCTCCTCCTAGAATGTTTTTCAATGTAGTAAAATATATATAGTATAAAATTTACCATCTTAACCATTTTTAAGTGTATGTACAATTCAGTGGTATTAAGTATTTTCACAATGTTGTGCAATCATCACCACCATCCATTTCCAGAACCTCTTTTTTTTAACTTAAAAATTTTATTTCTTTAGAGAAGTTTCAGGTTTATAATAAAATTGAAAGGAAGGTGCAGAAATGTCTTGTAAACTCTGCTCCCACACAGGCATAGCCTCATCCATTCTCAACATCACTCGCCAGAATGGTACATTTCTTACGAAGGGTGAACATACATTAACATATCACAATCATCCAAAGTCCATAATTTACCTTAGGGCTCACTCTTGTGTTGTATACTCTAGAGTGTGGACAAGTGTATAACTACATACATGAATCATTATATCATACAGGGTATTGTCACTACCCCTGTGCTCTGCCCAGTCATCTCTTCTCTTTCCCCACCTCCCTTCACTCCCCCACAACCACTGATCTTTTTACTGTCTCCATAGTTTTGACTTTTGCAGAATGTCATACAGTTGGAATAATACAGTATGTAGTCTTCTCACATTGGCTTCTTTCACTTAGTAATATGCATTTAATATTTCTCCATGTCTTTTTATGGCTTGGTAACTCATTTCTTTTTAGCACTGAGTAATATTCCAATGTCTGGAGGCACCATAGTTTACCCATTCATCTACTGAAGGACATCTTGTTTGCTTCCCAGCTTTGGCAATTATGAATAAAGCGTCTATAAATATCAGTGTCCAGGGTTTTGTGTGGACATAGGTTTTCATCTCCTTTAGGTAAATACCAAGGAGCATGAACGCTGGACTGTATGGTAAGAGCATGTTTAGTTTTGTAAGAAACCTCCAAACAATCTGCCAAAGTGGCTGTACCACCAGCAATGAATGAGAGTTCTTTTTGCTTCACATCTTTGACAGCATTTGGCATTGTCAGTGTTCTGGATTTCTGCCATTCTAGTAGGTGTGTGGTGGTATCTAGTTTTAATTTGCATTTTCCTGATGACGTATGTGGAGTATCTTTTCATATGCTTATTTGTCATCTATATATCTTCTTCAGTGAAGTGTCTGTTGAGGTGTTTGGCCCAGTTTTTAATTGGGCTGTTTGTTTTCTTATTGCTGAGTTTTAAGAGTTTTTTGTATACTTTGGATAACGGTCCTTTATCAGATGTGTCTTTTGCAAATGTTTTCTTCCTACTGTGGCTTGTCTTCCAATTTTGATATTCTTTCACAGAGCAGAAGTTTTTAATTTTAACTAAGTTCAGCTTATCAATTATTTCTTCCATTGGATCATGTCTTTGGTGTTGTATCTAAAAAGATATCACCATACACAAGATCATCTAGGTTTTCTCCTATATTATTTTCTAGGAGCTTTGTATTTTTGCATTTTACATTTAGGTCTATCTATGATTCATTGTGAGTTAATTTTTGTGAAGGGTATAAGGTCTGTGTCTAGATTCATTTTTTTTCATGTGGCTGTCCAATTTTTCTAGCACCATTTGTTGAAGAGACTATCTTGGCTCCATTGTATTGCCTTTCCTCCTTTGTCAAAGATAAGTTGACTATATTTATGAGGGTCTATTTCTGAGCCCTCTATTCTGTTCTTTTGATCCATTTGTCTATTTTTTCTCCAATATCACTCTGTCTTGATTACTGTAGCTTTATATTAAGGGCAGTGTAAGTCCTCCAACTTTATTCTCCTTCAATATGTATTAGCTATTCTGGGTCTTTTGCCTCTCCACATAAACTTTAGAATTAGTCTGTCAATATCCATAAAATAATTTGCTGGCATTTTCATTGGGATCACATTGAATTCAAAAATCAAGGTGGGAAGATATGGCATCCTGACAATATTAAGTATTCCTATCCATGAACATGGAATATCTCTCCATTTATTTAGTTCTTCTTTGATTTTTTCATCAGGGTTTTGTAATTTTCCTCATATAGATCTTAAATATATTTTATTAGGTTTTACCAAAGTATTTCATTTTTAGGAGTAGTAATGTAAATGGTATTGTATTTTTTATTTCAAATTCCACTTGTTCATTGTTGGTATATAGAAAAGCAATTGACTTTTGTATGATAACCTTGCACCCTGCAACCTTACTATAATCACTTAGTTCCAGGGTGTATCTTTGTTAATTCTTTTGGGCTTTCTATATAGACAATCATGTCATCTGCAAATGAGGACTGTTTTATATCCTCCTTCCCAATCTGCATACCTTTTATTTCCTTTTCTTGCCTTATTGAGTTAGCGAGGACTTCTACTATGATGTCGAAAAGGAGTGATGAATGGCAATATCCTTACCTTATACCTGATCTTAATGGGAAAGCTTCAAGTCTCTCACCATTAAGCATGATGTTAGTCACAGGGGTTTTGTAGATAGCCTTAACCAAGTTGAGAAGGTTCCCCTCTATTCCTGGTTTACTGAGAGTTTTTACATGATGGGGTGTTGGCTTTCCATCTTTTCGTCTGCCAAAACTAGAATTCTGTGCATATTGAAAAACAACTCTCCATTCTGTCCTCACCCCAGCTCCTGGCAACCACCATTCTACTTTCTGTCTCTATGAATTTGAATCCTCTAAGTGCTTCATATAAGTGGAATCACACAGTATTTGTTCTTTTTTGTTTGATTTAGTTCATTTGGCACAATGTCTTCAAGATTCATCCATGTTGCAGCATATGTCAGCATTTATTCCTCTTTAGAACTGAACAGTATTCCATTCTATGTATAAACCACATTTTGTTTAGCTATTCATGTGTCAATGAGCACTTGGGTTGCTTCTACCTTTTGGTTATTATGAATAATGCTGCTAGACATGAAGAAATGCAAATATCTCCTCAAGACCCTGCTTTCAATTCTTTTGGATATATACCCAGAAGTAGAATTCTGGATCATATGATAATTCTATTTTTAATTGTTTGATGAACCACCATAGTGTCTTCCACAATAGCTGCACAATTTTACATTCCTACAAACAGTATTCAAGGGTTCCAATTTCTTCATATACTTACCAACTTGTTATTTTCTTTATTTGATAGTAGACATCCTAATGGGTATGAAATGGTAGAGCAGCCCTCCCATTATGTGCAGTTTCACTCTCTGAGGTTTCAGTTACCTGTGAACAGCCATGGTCTGAAAATTTTAAATGGAAAATTCCAGAAATAAACAATTCATAAATTTTAAATTGCACGCCATCCTGAACAGCATGATGAAATCTTGTGCTGTCCTCTGTCCCACCTGGGATGTGAATCACCTCTTTGCCCAGTGTATCCTGCCCTTAGTCACTTAATAGTTGTCTTGGTTTTCAGATCAATGGTCAAGGTATTTCATTACTTAATAGTGGCCCCAAAGTACAGGAGTAGTGATGCTGGCAATTCAGATATGCCAAAGAGAAGCTGTAAAGTTCTTCCTTTAAGTGAAAAGGTGAATGTTCTTGACTTAATAAGGAAAGAAAAACAATTATGTACTGAGGTTGCTAGGATCTACGGCAAAGACAAGTCTTCTATTTGTGAAATTGTGAAGAAGGAAAAAGAAATTCATGCTAGTTTTTCTTATTGCAACTCAGACCGCAAGAGTTACGGCCAGGGCTTCCCTGGTGGCACAATGGTTGAGAGTCCGCCTGCCGATGCAGGGGACACGGGTTTGTGCCCCAGTCCAGGAAGATCCCACATGCCGCAGAGCGGCTGGGCCCGTGAGCCATGGCCGCTGAGCCTGTGCGTCCGGAGCCTGTGCTCCACAACGGGGGAGGCCACAACAGTGAGATGCCTGCGTGCCGCAAAAAAAAAAATAATAATAAAGTTATGGCCAGAGCGTGTGATAAGTGCTTAGTTAAGATGGAAATGGAAAAGTCATTAAATTTGTACAATAAGATATCGAGAGAGAGAGAGAGAGGGAGACCACGTTCACATAAGTTTTATTATAATATACTGTTATAATTGTTCTA